TGTTGCGGGGGCAGGTGGTCAGTCACCCAGGTTCCGAGATAAGTGCTTTCAGTTTTTAACCGGTGTGCTTTTCACTGCTTTGTGTGTCTGCTCATTAAATTAAAAAATATATACATATTTTATATGTGTTGCAGGGGCAGGTGGTCAGTCACCCAGGTTCCCATCAGCAGTGAAATACCAATAAGGAAACGAACCAGGTTTTAGCTGAGGGGGATCTAAACATGCCAGGAGAAATTGCTCCAAGCCTGACAATTTGGGAAGTCATGGCAGTATTTTGTTCCTCCTGAATTCCTACTAATTCCATTTGGGAGCATCGCTTCATGTCTGTATCGGAGGAGCGAAAGCAGCACCATTTAGTGGAGCTGTCACAGGGAGTCCTGTGTGCCCAGCGCTGTCTTGGTGGCTCTGATGCTGCTGGAAGCTGCTCTCCTTTGAAAGCTCTGAGGTGCTTCTGCTTCCTCCAATGTTCTCCGTAACAGCTCCTAGATGCTACATGGCAGCCCCTCTGAACACGTAAGGTGCCGCTTCCGGAGACACTGCGTACGTGGTCCCTGTTTGTTATGAGAACTGACTCAAAGATCCAGGGCAAAAAAGACTTCTTAGCAACTCTGGTAAAAATGCATCTGCAATGAGCTGCCTGCTGAGGTCCTGGAGGGGCAGTGATTTTGCCATCCCAGTAGCCACCAGCTCCCTGCTCAAGCAGGCATCAAGAGGGCTTTCTCCCACAGCAAATGGAGCCATGTTGGGCCTTAGCTTCTGTCCTCTTTCAGGATGCTGCCTTCCACCAAGGTCGAAGATATGTGGATGGTTTCTGGTTCTCCATGACCTTTCTCTTCTCACTTCCCTACCCAAAATTTCCTGCTTTGGATAGAGGGCCTTTTCTTTTGTTACTGGTCTCCAAAAAGAAGTGTTTTGACTATTGAGTTTCATTTGTGTGGTGGGTGACAGTTTTTGTATAGCAGAAAGACTGTGAAAAATAGTGAGTTAGCAAAACCCTGGTTATGGAAATAGGTCGTTTTCTGTCTGAAACAGAATGGACACAAGTGGTAATTGGTGCCATTTCCTGCTAGAAAACAGCTAGAAGTCCTTGTCTCGCCTCCATCCACCATTTTATCTCGCAGCTCTGTGGCGGCCTCTTGGTCTCGCCAGGGCACCCTCGTGTGGGGCTGGTCGGGCAGCCCATCCACACAAGGGGCAGGAGTTCAGCAGAGCTCAGCTTGGCCAAGAAGCTCAGTGAGGTCCCAGAAAATGAGGAATTCAGGTGGACTTGAAAAGCTTGGTTTGACTTCTAAGAAAGCTTTGATCTAAAGTAGGCGTCTTTCTTCTACTCCTCCTCTTTCAGGTCATTTCTTTATCTTTGAGTTCTTAGGTCTCTCTTTCTCTCTCTTTATTTTATTCCCAAGGGGGGGCAGATCCAGTGAGATATAAATACACTTTGCTCTTGCTCTCATGTCCTTTGATTCCCTTCCCTTTGCTGAAGTGCCCTCGCCTCTCGGGCGAGGTGGTGCCTCACAGGAGGCCAGACCCTCCGCGCAAGCGCCGCCGCCATGTGGCCTGGTCGAGCTGCAAGGGGAGCGGCAGCTCTGCTCCCATCTCCAACAGCCCTTCCCTGAGCACTGCCTCATGCCTCCTTTCCCTCATCTTAAAAATCACAAGCACTTAGTGATCTGCAAGGTAGATTTGGGCAACTTCACTTCCTTACCTCAGCAAGAGTGATGCAGCCTACTTCTGTCCCCTTCTCTCACCTTTTGTCCACTTTTGACAGGGAAATTGAGGGGAATTTTGAAGGGATATGTGGAAATAATGGAGAATATTTGGCATAATGCAGTTTAAAGGTCAAGCAGTGCAAATCCATAGAGCCTGGTTTTCTGTTCATTCCCCTCACCCCCTTGCTTATTACAACAGAAATGGAGATGGTGGAAACCCAAGGCTACATTTTTTGTTTGTAATATGCAGTTTTAAAACTAGTGTGCCCGTAATGCCGGCTGAAGTGTGCCGTGCTTCTGCAGGCTGCTTGTAAGCAATGCCAAGCGAGCACGGATCCGAGCGCATCCCTTGCTTGGGAGGATGGAGAGGAGCCCCCTGCCCTCCACCTTCCCCAGCTCTTTTCCTCCAACTTCCCAGCACAGGCTGCAGCTCCAGCTTGCTCCCAGGGATTCCCCAAAGCTCATGGAGGCGACCTGTGCTGGAAGGGGATGTGATCATACGGCAACTGGCCGTGTGATGATGTGTGTTTGGAAGCTGGCACCCTGGTTCTAATTTCTAGCTGAAGCTGTTTTTGCTGTTAGTATACTGGTCCATTATTCAGGACATACAGGGATGGGCTGATGTAGCAGAAACATTTTCTAGATATCTACGAAGTATTCGTGAATTGCACCTCGAGCTACTGAGTTAGCTTCTGCTGTCATGCTAGGAACACATGCAAAGGAATAGATTCAGGGACAGCAGTGAGGTGTTTTAAATCATCCACTGATGAATGTTCAGCGAACGGGAATTTTACTCTTAGTTTGTGATGGTGGATTTTGTTTGTTTTGGAGGGGAATGGTGGCTCTCATGGGCACTGGATTCAGCTTATCACCTACAAACTTGGCAGTGAGGAAATCTATGTTCAATCAGATGAATCTCTATTTCATATATACAAATTGAATGGTGTTTATGAATGCAGAGCTTATGCCCTTACTGCAATATCTGTACTTTCCATCCTCCTCCAATTTAACTCCCTTTCTCCTCTCAGCACTCCACCAGTAAAGGCACCATTTACTATTTTTGCAGCAGTTGGCAACTTTGAGCTCTTGGCTGCGGCTTAGCCAGACTTGAGGTTCCAGTAAACCTTGGGCAACAGCTGGTGCCTGCTCGGGTGGGTGCTGCAGTACCTGTGCCGTGAACCCGGGGCAGGGGGACTCGCTGCCTGGCAGCATGGAGCAGACTTGATGTGTCCCAAGGACTTCAGTGAGCACCTCTGTTGCAGGGGCTGCACTGGATCAGCTGGTTTGGGACAGCTGGTACATCTGCTCTGATAGGGAGCAAAGTTCTCCCTTCTGCCGTGGTGCTGAAAGCTTGATTTATGGGTTAAAATCAGCACTTCTAGGGAAAGTAGCTTGCTAAGGACTGCTGTGCTGGATGCTCTGCAGGATGTCCTGCTCCCCCAGCTGGATAGCTTCGTTCTGCACTGATTTAAGCTCCTGTATGGCCCAAACACCTGGAGACAGTTTTGGTGGGAAACGAGGGAAATGGCCCTGCTTGGGTGACTGGTGCTGTCGCAGTATTTGTTAGCTGAGCCAGTGGAAGCATAACAGCATTTAGAAGCTGTTTCAATGCTGTTTCTTAATCCATAAACAAGCATTAAAGAAAGGTGGTATGGGTTTTTTGTTTGGTTGGTTTTTGTTTGTGTGTGTTCGGGTTTTTTTTCTCAAATTTAAATAGAGCTTTTAAGTCTTCCATATCTTATGTCAGTGAGAACCCACTGGAGCCAACTGGTGAGTGGAGGCCGGTCTAACCTGATATGTGAGAAAGCAAGACCAAAACTTGGAGGCTGCTTTTTCATTATCTCTGCTTGCTTTGTGCTTGTGTTTGGTTTTTGTTTGGCTGGGTTTTGTTTGTTTTTCTTCAAGTTGACCTCACTTCCAGGCAGTGCTGGACATCTGCAGCTCCTCTCGGTTTCAAGAGCGTTTAAGTTCTTCAGCATCTCTAAAAACTAGCCAGTATTGCCAAGTATAAGACAATTTCCAGAGGTGTTTTTGTTCTTTTAACAATTCTTGGGTTTTTTGAAGTTGAAATTTAGCAACATCATTTTTTTTTTGATAGATAAAACCACTGTCCAATGAGCACGATTCAATCACAGCTTACACAGTTTCTGTTGTTGTGTTGACTGGCATTCAAGTGATCATCTTTAAAACATGTAAGCATTTTTTTGGAGAGAAAAAGATAAAGTTTGAGAGCCTCCAATTCTGCTTCAACATGTGAATCACACTTTAAAACTGATTGTGGTGGTGGTGGTGTGGCTTGTTTGTTTTAATTCTATAGAGAGTCAAGTGCGCAGAATAGGACTATATATTAGAGTATTGGCAGGACACAAAAAGGGGGCCCATTTAGAAGGGACCTGGAGGCTTCTGCTGTCTATTTTTACCAGTATTCAGTGAAAAGTGGTGCTTTTAGGAAGCTAAAACTGTTTTTTTTCTTCCAGAAGAGACTTACTGCTCTGTCATAACTGACTGTCATCTCCTTGAACCCACCTCAAGACAGAGCTTTGAAACTGTTGATTTATTTTAACTCTTTTTATTTTTTTTTCTGCCTTTAGAGTTACAACTGAAGCAGGGCACTATAGCTTTATTTAGAAATCTTCCATCATTAGTAACCATAGTCACTTAGTAGGCATATTTACAACGTAAGTGACAGTGGGAAGTAATTATTTGCTATAAATCACACCCAATTCCAAATCTGCGTGCTCTGCATCCTCCAAACTAATAATTAATAGAAACTGCAGTTACAGTATTTATAGCAGTGTCTCTTTCCCAAGTAAATGTTATGACTGGCTAGTAAGGATTAAAATCCAGTGTTCCGTCGTCTTATTTGTTTCAAAGCCATTTTCTGCCTGTGGCACACAGCAAGTTCTCCACTGTTTTTAGGCTTTGACGGAGTTTTTCCTCTTCAAGCTTAAGAGGAAAAACTCCAAGCTTAAGAGGAAAGCTTAAGCTTAAGCTTGGAGTTTTTCTGCTTAAGCTCATTATGGGTGGGGGGAGGTTAAGCATACAGACTGGTGCTGTAAAAGCCCCCATCTTGAGCTGCAGCTCTGCTGGGTATGTGCTTTACAGAGGAGTCTAACGCCCTATGCTTTGTTTCACAGGTGTCATGCAGTCGATGGGTTTGCTGTTGAAGCTGATGGGCCCTGCTGGTGCAGAAATGCTGTATTAACAAAATAGACTAATCCCAGGAGGTTGGAGCAATTGGAGAGAACTTCCAAGTTTACTGCTCCCCTTGGCAGAAAGTCCCTGTCTGGGACACTAGCTCCCTGCAAAGGCTGCCATGGCTAGCAAAAGAAAGTCGACGACTCCGTGTATGGTGCGGACTTCTGAAGTCGTGGAGCAGGAAGCCACTGAGGGTGTAGAAACCCCTAAGGAAAAGGGGGCTGCCGCCCCGCAGCAGGACACAAAGAAAACCTGGCCTGCAGAAAGCTCCGTGAAAGACTGTGAAGTGGTGGAGGCAAAGCCACCACCTGAAAATCAGTCCAAGAAACCCCAGGGTGGCTACGAATGCAAATACTGCCCTTACTCAACACAGAACTTAAATGAATTTACGGAGCACGTTGACACTCAGCATCCAAATGTCATTCTCAACCCTCTGTATGTTTGTGCTGAATGTAACTTCACAACCAAAAAATATGATTCCCTATCTGATCACAACACAAAACACCACCCAGGAGAGAATAATTTCAAATTGAAATTGATTAAACGCAATAATCAGACTGTTTTAGAGCAGTCCATTGAGACTACCCCTAACAACGTCACCGTTGCTAGCAGTGGGCCGGAAAGTGCTGAGTGTGACGACCCGCTTCATGGGGGGATTAGTGCAAGTAAAACTCCAATGATGAAACTGGGAAAGCCTAAAGTGGACACTAAGAAAGGTTCCAAGAAGCCAGAAGAGGGACTTATGGAAAATCATGTGGATGGGACTCTCCCCCGCATCATAACTGAAGCCACTGAAGCTATTGCTTGTATAAATGGAGACCTTCTCCATGATGTGTTAGCTCACGTTATGCCCTCGGTACAGCTGCCACCAAATATTAACCTTCTCCCCAAGGTCCCAGTACCTCTGAACAGTACCAAATATAACTCTGCACTGGACACTAATGCAACTATGATCAACTCCTTTAATAAATTCCCTTACCCAACCCAAGCAGAGTTGTCGTGGTTGACAGCAGCATCAAAGCACCCAGAGGAGCAAATCCGAATCTGGTTCGCTACTCAGCGCTTGAAACATGGTATAAGTTGGTCTCCAGAGGAAGTGGAGGAGGCAAGAAAGAAGATGTTTAATGGTACTATCCAGGCAGTCCCCCAAACCATCACTGTCCTACCAGCTCCTTTGACAACTGCAAAAATTCCCCAGCCCATCATCCAGACAGCTCTGCCTTGTCAGATACTGGGCCAGACTGGTCTGGTGTTGACTCCCGTGTCAAATGGCTCAGCGGTTTCCTGTTCACCTATTACTCTAGCTGTTGCCCCTAACCAGGGGCAAAAGAGAACGATACAGACCTTAGCAAATATCCCGGAGGCCAAGCGTCCACATGTTGTTCAGGTGCCAGAGATTCCTGCCAAGCTGACTGCTGCACTGACTCCAGCAAGCGAGCGGAAGAAGACGAAGGAGCAGATAGCAGAACTGAAGGCCAGTTTTACAGCAAGCCAGTTTCCTGACGACGCAGAAATCTACCGGCTGATCGAGATGACGGGTCTCTCCAGGAGCGAGATCAAGAAGTGGTTCAGTGACCACAGGTATAGAAGTCAGCGGGGCATCGTGCAAGTGAGTGACTCGTTAGCAAAAGATCAAATAATAACTCCCACTGGTCGATATGGCCGTTCATTCCACCCTTATGCAGATTTTACACCCCAGAGATTCAAAGAGAAAACCCAAGAGCAGCTTAGAGCCCTTGAAGAGAGTTTCCTAAGATGTTCTTTTCCAACCCAAGGAGAATTGGACAGGCTTCGAGTGGAGACTAAACTGAGTAGGAGGGAGATTGATTCGTGGTTCTCTGAGCGGAGAAAAATAAGGGACAGCATGGAGCAAGCAGTCTTGGACTCAATGGGATCATACAGAAAAACTAAAGATCAAGGAACCCACAATGGTGCAATAAGCCAGCCAGAACTGCTGAACAGCTCCCAGCTACCTGGCTCTTTATCTGGGTCCTCTGCAGTGTTTAATATAAAAACCCAAGAGCAGGTTCATTTACTGAAAAGCACATTTGCAAGAACACAGTGGCCATCCCCCCAGGAGTATGACCAGTTAGCATCTCAGACAGGGCTCACAAGAACTGAAATTGTTCGCTGGTTCAAGGAGAACCGGTCATCGCTGAGAGCGGGGTCGCTTAAATGGATTGATCAGTATCAACAGCAGTATGTTGTTGATGGTCATAACGAGCAAAACCAGAAAAAGGGAGCAAAACGCACCGAGAGCCCAAAGAATGGTAGTGAGGTGTCTCGGCAGCATTACCAGGAGCATAAAAAACTGAATGAAGAGAATGGGGGAAAAGTAGTTGTGAGGTCAAAAAGAGACTGCGAGCCACTGAAAGACTCTTTGTTGGGCAATCAAGCGGAGGGTCCGGACAGGTCGGAGTGCAACAGCCACGGCAGCGAGGAGAACGAGGAGCCGACGGAGGGGAACTGGGTGGAGGTGACGGTGGGCGAGGACGATGCTGCGTCGGACTGTACCGATAGCTGGAGTCAAGCAGCGCCCGAAGGCCAGGCAGAGCTGGCAGACTTTGATTCTGAAAGTGTGTCTGGAGACAATTCCCACGCGTAGACAGGTAACGTTGCTCTGAGCCACCCTCAGGCTCCTTGTGCTTCCAGTCCCCAGCAGCTGCTTTCCAGGGTCAGTCACGGAGCTCATCCCTGCCCCGTGCACGTGCCTGCTGGATGCTCGAACACAAGGGGCACCCTCCCTGTTGCAAATTTAGCTGACCATGCAGCAGGGGAGCAAAGAGCAGTGTTTGATTTGATTCTCTTCTCGTGGGTTGGGTCCTGGTTAAGGCAGAACTTCAGTTAATTCTGAGTGTTCTGCCTTTAAATGACCTGTGAAACTTCTGCAGAGCTGGAATTAAAATAGGCAGGTTAAGCCATGCAAAGAAACAGTAGGTAACGCCAGTGACTAATGTCCATCTTGCTAGCAGATTATCGATCTCCTGTGAATAGTTGTAGCTATTTTTTGCATCCTAGGTTGAGCCTTTGCAGCATCCTGAGTTGCTCAGATAAAAAGGTTGCTGGGGGAAGGGCCCAAGGTGAAGACTTTCTTTATGCTGTTGCAAGCCAAAACAAAAACGTTGTGGGGAACTGCAGGGGCTCATGCAAATGTGCTCTCTTCCTCTTGCAGGTGCAAAGCTCTCCAGCCTTGCTTTGTTCTGCTCGCTCCTGGTGGAGGTTTAGGAAATGTCCCATATGAAGCCCTGGGGGTTTTAGCACCTCTTCACAGGAGGCTGGATTTAAAAACAGGCTCCAGGGCTTTTCTGAAGGGGATTTATTTGGAGACCTGTAGCCTGTTTGTAACTGCAGTTAGGCAGGTATAAATTCACAGCAAGTGCTATCAGTTTTTTCTTTGTTTGTTTATTTTTGTTTTGTTTCTCCATTTCAAGCCTTTAATATTTTATGCTTGATGTAACTGAGATCTGAATCTGCCTCTTCCAGGCAGGAATCTACTGAAGCTAGGAATTATCCAACAGCAAATGCCACACAATGCATTAACAAAAACAGAGAACACTTATTTTAGGAATCATTAATAGCTCTCTGATATCTAATTAGCAGAAATAGTGAAGTGTATTATACTTAGAACACACACAAAAAATAAAGCCAGGGCTGACAGAAGTTCTTCTACTCCTAAAGGCTTTTGGTATTGCAGTTTTGCAGTACTTGAGTTGAACTATTAAATGTGTCAGTGCAGCTTTTCCTTGCAAGCCATGCTGGCTAGCCTAGAGCTCTCCAGTTTCTTCTTGCAAACCACTTATCCAAAAGCCTCCTGAACATTTGCTCTAAGTTTGAAAGAGAAACACTCCAGTTTATTTTTGAACTACAACTTGTATAGCCTTTAATTTTGAGAAGTGTCACAGCATCTGTACTGCAAAACATATTAAAGCTAGCACGGATGTTAAAGGAAGGAGAACTTGGGAAGGGCAGTGAGGAGGATCTTCCTCTGGCCTCTGTAGCATGTGGTTCTCTTTGGGTGCCACTACAGTTTCTATAGTTTCTGAAGCTATGTTTAAAATTAGACCAGGGAATTGGTCTGTCTTTTAAAGGCAAATGAGAAAATATACAAATATACATAAATATAAATGTGTAGTGTATGATTTTTTCCCCCAGGGTGTTATGCCAAATCAGTTCCTTATTCCAGGTATGAGTTTTTGTGCAGCTGTAATGGAGGAAATGAGGGTAAGAGGCTAGAAGAGTGCAGGATTACTTTATTAAACCATTATTTTTGGCAAACACTGTACCATGACACCAAGCTCTGCTGCAGCCCTTTCCCAGCAGTGTGGGCTCAGTGGCTGCGTTTTTAGTGCCTGTGAGCAGCGCAGGACATGCTGTGGTCAGAAACCTCTGCCTTTAGCCCTCCCTAGCACAGGAACCAGCCATAAAGCTCCACTGCTGTGCGGGTGTTTGGGCACCATCAGAGAGGAATTTCAATAAAAGCTTTGATCTCAGTTAAACTTTCACCACTTGATCTTTTTGGTGAGGAGCTTTCAAGCAGCTGATAATAAAACACCCCTCTGGAGAGGAGATGCCCTGGAGCACATCTTGCCTGACACAGGTTGAGACTGGGGCCTCGCTGTGTCCTCTGCTGGCACCCAAAGGAGAGCTTGTCTGTGCTAACTTGGCACCGTTGCATGTGTTATATTCTCACATAAAAGTGATCTTTCTCATACTGGAGCTCTCTGTGCCTCAGAGGGCCCACACTGCTATCCTGGCTCTAACTAGGAACTACCCCATGCTGAAGAGCTAAGCGGGCCCTTCCTCATCTCGGCTTCCACCTAGCTCTAGTCATTACGTGGAGCTTTCCTTGCTCCACTTGATGTCAAACAGGTATCAAACACAGCCTTTGGTACCCATGTTGTACTTCTTAGCATGACACACAGGCTTTAACTTGAGTGTTGTTCTCCTTTGAGCCTTGGTCCGTCATGGGCTGAGTTCATGTGCAGCTTCTGGGAGACCTGGAGTGCTGCCAAACTTCTGCCTGTTGGAAGGTATTGGCAAAATCAGATTAATTCCCCAGAGTAGGATTGTGTTCCTTAAAGGGGGGGCTGCAAGATCTGCCCCCATAAGGCGCCAAGATCTTCAAGCGGGGTGACTCCTGTAAGGTGCCGTGGAGTTGTTGCTAAAAACGCTCTGTGTGCTCACACCAAAGCCTTCCATCTTTCATGTTTAATCGATACCACGTTGTATCTCCATTGCCACCAACAGCAGTAGTGCTGCCTTCACCAGCCATGGCCAGAATCAGGTGTGTTGTCACTGTCTCACAAGCCTCACAGCTGAAAAAAATGGTCCAAAACTAAAATCAGCAAATTGCAGCTTGGCTGTGAGAGCCGGGAGGCGGTGCAGGCCGCAGCGGTTGGCGCTTCCTGCTGCGTTTCTTTCTGGCCCTGTCTCCTGGGGGTTCTCCAGAGCACAGCGCTTTCATTTGCTCAGAAATGTCCCCTCCTCGCCCACAGAAACTGTCAGTTTTCACACTGGGTCCCTGACCTTCCCTCTTGGGCCCAGAGGCGCCTCGCTCCCGGTGCCGGCCGGGGCCCTGGTGCCTGCGAAGCTGCGTGCGCCCCGGCTCGCGCCTGCTGCTCTGGGAGCTGCCAAGGGGGAAAAATAACAATAAAAATAACAATAAAGGACAAAAAAAAAAAAACCCAAAACCTAATCTGGGAGTTGTGCAAAAGCCCCCCACTCCTTACTGCTTATGTAAGTGTCATACTGGGCGTTGAAGGTTATCTGGGCGCTCCTGGTGTCTTCTGCTCCTTCCGCACTGTGGCGGGAGCTGCGATCGCTCAGCTGCTCGTGTGGCCTTGCACCTTCCTCGGCGTCTGAAGCTGGTCAAGGCTGCAACAAGCCCGGGCTTTCCCTCCCTCATTGCCCCAGCTTTCCTCGCGGTTTGGGGTTTCACCCTCAGAGCCAGCCGCAGTGCCTACGAGCGACGGCAGCTGTGGGACGCTCGGTCAGCCCAGCTTTCCGTCGGCCTCGGGAGAACCAGCGCACGTGCAGGCAGGAGAGGGTGCGAGGGCTGTTCTTGAAATCACTGGTCCCCTGCGTAGCCTTTGCTAAGGTGCAGGAATCGCCAGAGAACCCTTGAGCTGTTCTGCAAAGACACATGCAGGTGACTTCATTCCATTTTCTTGAGCTTTGTGTAATTAAATCTTAAAACCAAGTGAAAAATTATTTATGGGGACTTACGGGGGAAAAAACAAAAAAAGACCTGTAGTCTTCCAGCCTTTAGCACTATCCGTTCCTCTTCTAAAGTAGCTGCTTCCAGCCCATGTACACAAACCAGTCTTTGAACAACCATGCAGACCTGTGCAATTTATAGGGTAATAATGAACCAGCAGAGAGTATGATTAATAGAAATTAAGGGCCATCACGTGTGCAGGTAACACTGTCAGTGAGCAGCTTGAATAGTTGTTCCACGTTGTTCCTTTAAACCTCATGTTTCTGTTTTTCATGTTTGCAGGGGTTCTGGTCAGCTGCGCTGTCCTGACAACGAAGGGGTTTTCAACGCTGTTTGGAAATAGAAGGAAAAAATCTATTTTCCTGCCCGGGCTGAGTGTGTTGCAAGGCCAAGTCTTGAACCGCGCTTGCAGAGGCACAGCGAGAGATCCGCCGGTGGAGCAGCATCACGGGATAGTTCCTAGTGCCAAAGTCCTACTGCTGCATCAAAACACAAAACGAGAGAGAGAAAGAGAGAGAGAAAAAAGGATCCCTGTATATAGGTCTCTCCTTTGCTTCCTCTCCCACCCACTTTCTTGCCCAGCCTCTTCCTATACTGGAACAGATTTGTATAATGTGGAAATTTTGTTAACTTTTTAATCAGTGCAAGTTATTCTTGCCTATCCTGCCTTTGCAGAAATGTGGGGTTGGTTGGGGGAGGGCGATGATTTTTGTGGGGAGGGCAGGGGAGAGAAAGCTTTTTTTGGAAGTGTTTTCAGGAACATTTGGAATCCTTTGGGTGCAGATCAGCGCCTAGTCCCAGGTTCCCGCCCCAGCCAAGGGGCTCCTCTGGCTTAGCTGGGGGTAGGGGGATGTTTCAAGGCTTTTGTTTTGTTTTATGGCCATCTGCTACTGGTTGCAGTATTTAAATCTCTGCTTTTCTGTGCTCCTATGAAGCAAGGCTTTTCCAGCTCCTGTACTTCACTTTTCACAGAGCAGCACAGGCCATGGTTCTCTGAAGATCTTGCTAGAACGCCTTTTTATTTTTTAGCACTTTTTGTTTAACCATGCAGTACAACCTCCAGAGGGGCTGCAGTGAGGAAATGAAGATGCTTCATACTCCAAACTTGTTGGTGATTCTTTGTTGGGTACAAAGACAGACAATATAACTTGAGGGCTGCCCTCCAGCTTTAGGTAGCGCACAACAGAAATTCCTAATTAACCCTCACCACTAAATTTTTAGATCAGTTCTAGATTCCTGAGTGCACTTTTTTTTTTCAGATACTGCTAATTTTCTGTGTGGGGGTGTCTGTGCGCGTGTGAAGAAGGAGAGAGGAGCGAGTGCATCCGTTTGTGTGCGAGGAGCGCGTGCGAGGGCTGCGGGACGCGCTGCGCCCAGGAGCCTGTTCGTTTGTTTGGAAAACTTACCCATCTTTCAGTACACTGCACAAATATAATGCTAGGGACTTTGAATAAATCCAACTTTTCTAACTTGTTGCTCATTTGTTGTAACTCAATAAAGGCTAAACATTTTGGTAACCTCTTTTCTCGGCTTTTTTTTTTTTAATTAATACCAGAGATCAGCCCCCACCAGCTCTGTGTTGTGCACAGGCGCTCAGCATCTTTCTAGCTGCTACTGGGGCTCACTGGCTTTGCAGTAATTGTCTTGGGAAACACTAACAGGATTAAAATGAACTTGGTGACCTGTTTTTTCCCCCTCAGGTTAGCAGGTGGTTCCCCTCCTAGCGGTTAGGTAGTAGCTGGGAATGGGGGACCCCCTTCCCGCACATCCATGGGCTCTCCACAAGGTCTCCACTCCCACGGGACCAGCGGGACAAGGGGTCATGCTCGGTGCTTCGAGGCACCTCATTCAACCTCCTCCTCTTCCATACGTGGCGCTCAGTACATCTATCCCCGTGCAGTTTGCCACATCCATAGGTGAAAGCATCACACGGCACAAAGATAAACGCCCTGATGGGGTCTCCACCAGGCCTGGAAAGTTGTAACGGGAACTAATTGCTGCTTCTGCCTGCTCTGCAAACATGAAAAAAATTGATAATCATTTAATTGCTCTCGTGCACAGTTGTTAACAACCACTTGGCAGCTTAATATTCCAGTTTGCAGCTCGTCTTGTTCGGTGTGCGCTTATGTATGTGCGTCTGGAGCACTGACCTACTTCGCTTAACTAGCAGCTTTCCTGGGGATCTCGGTGGAAATTTTCAGAAGAACAAGATGCACCTGGGTTTTCTGTACTTGTACCACCCCACACACAGTGAGATTATGGCCGGGACGCTTTTGGATTGCTGCAAGTGAACAGCAGTAGCCGTGGAGGTTGTTATTGCATAGAAAATAATGTTGAATTTCTCCCCTGAAGAAACTTGTTTGCAAAAGAATTATCTGGGCTTTGCCAGTGCCTCCAGTAACAGTTGTGAGGGCAGCACAATCACAACAGCGCTCCTACTCACCTGCAATTACGGAGGTATTTGGGTCTGGGGTTACGTTGCCTGCTGCTGAAAAGAGGTTTTTGTCATTCATGAGCTTGTCTCATCCAGTGCCAGCGCCGGGCACGTTCTCCACGCTTCATTTTTGAGAGCAGTGTCCTCCTGCCAGCTAAGCCTTGAAAGTGAAGAGACGGCTGGGGATCTTCCTTCGTGGGATGGGATCTCCTTCCTTGGTGGGACGCCCGGCTGCTCCACAGGTTCACTAACACCCTGCGCGCCTTCCTAGGACCAGGGTTTCCTGATGGCCGGGTTTTGATGGACATCTTTCACAATGCTTTTAGCATAACTAGTGCCTCTTTTTTTTTTTTTTTTTGAAGATATTTAGTTAATGCACATACCCAAAAAAATAAAGTTTTTGCACTTGTGCGTCACCTTCTACAGTCCTTAGAAAAGTCCACCACTTCAAAGCCAGGAACTGCTCAAATCTAGTGGCCTCTGCCTCTTTCATTTTCTCTATTTGTGTCCTGACAAGAGGATATTTTTTCACTATATACAGATGCTATTTTCCTGCCTTGTTCATATGATGAGGGGATGGATGCTGTTCAGTAAGTGAGCACCTGCTGGCTTCTTGCAGCACAGTTATTCAGGCTCTGCTTTGAAAACAGATTTATACTTTATTATTTTTTTAGGTTTTTCTGCAGCTCATGCTACTGCATCTCAGCACCCCACCAACATACACAGTCAGTTCCCACCCTAACTCGTGACAGGGTGTCTCAATAGCATCTCCATCTTACAGACGGGAAGCTGAACCAAAAGCAACGCTGAGGTTCTACTAATCCAAGAGCATGGTTGAAGCCAAGTGCCACAGGCTTGTTTTTCTGCGTGGTGGGCATTTTCCAGGTTTTTCCTTCAGGTGCAAACTAGCAGGGTTGCAATTCATGCAGGCATCTTGCCTATGAAACAAAGCCCAGGTGTTCTTGTCCTGCACACATCACTCAAGGCTCAGCCACCCCACATTTGAGGCTGTTCTGCTGTTATCACCCTCCCAGACCCATACAGAAAGTGAGAAGATTAAAGTCCGCCCTTGTCCTTCTCCGTATTTCTTTGCAAGGGGACCTTGGCACTTCTTTGCTATGTTGTTCAAGGTAGGCTCAGGAGGGCTAAAAATACTTGACTTTCATCCCCAGTATGTGGTAACAGCAATTGCAGTGACCACCAGATGAGGTTCAAGGTAACAGTCGGGGTTGAGGGGCTCCATGTGCTGTTTGCCTGGGGACCACTGTGCCCAGGAAGGGTCCATCAGGCCCCACAGTCTCCACAGAGCAGTGCTGCGGGCACCAGGGTTGGCGTGAGGCCTCTCCTGCTGCTCGAGGGAGGTCATGGCTCATCTAACCAGATACCCGAGCTCCCATGGGCTTGGGAGGACCATAGGCCATGGTGGTGGTGACCAAGACTGCCCTGTAGCATCCCCAGGTTACCTCGTGATGGGCCCCCAAGTGCTGATCTCCTACAGCAAGGTAAGGTGCATGGCTTGGCTGTGGAGCAGCCTTCTTCTGCAGCACGAAGGCAGTGGGATTGGGTGGGGTTGGTTGGTTATTTATTTATTTATTTATTTTTAAGGAGGAAACAGAAATGTTAGTTTATATAATGTGTTAGAACACACTGTTGCTAGGTTGGTTTCTCATTTGACCAAATTCGGGTGCATTTTCCTATGGAGAGTGAAAAGCAGAGGTGCCACAGGCCTTTTCCTTGCTGAATTACTTTCCCCAAAATGGGAGGTTCTAGAGCTTCCCAAAAGCAGAAGTGCCATTTCCAACCTCAACACTCCGCAAGGAGACTTTTGGAGGTGGTTCTCTACAGGATGCTTCAAAAGCCCTTGAATTTCCTTGGTGAAACTTTCCTGGCCACCTTCCAGTTCTCACACACCCTTCACTAGTGAAGGGACCTTGTCCTAAAGTGTTGACAGAAGGAAGAAATAGTTATTAATTAATTAATTACAAAGGCACTTGAGGTAACACTCGGGGAAAGCACCTTGACAACAAGGGAAGAGCACAGCAGTGAAGTGTGAATCCTCACAGGTTTTTAATCATATCCTGAAGAGAGAGACCAAATACATTTTAGGTCAGCAAAAGCAATGACTTCCATAGTCATTGGATCACTAAGTAAGAGGAAGTTGCTGGAATGGGGCCGGCAGCTCTGGATTCACAGTACAGCAGGAAAAGGGACTTCGGGTGCAGAAAACAGACACTATCTGCACCAAATGAATGAAAAAAAAAAGCAAAACAAAAACCCAAAAACACATTTCTGCGGGGTGCTGCATAGTAGAATCATGTCCTGATCAGACTGATGCAAGCTCAGGTAACGGCAGAGGCAAGAACTGAGTGACTGGCAATTTGTTGGATGTGATCACAAATGGGGCACTTTTGCCATCACATCTCTGACAGGCCCAGTGCTCCAGAACAGTAACTTTAATCATATTATCATTCTTATCATTTAACTACACAACGGAAACCACACAGCAAGTGCCTTGGTTGTAACAAAGTCAATGGTGTTTCTATGAAGCTTCTTCAGGGCACAAAATGCTGCCTTCCCTGCTCTTTCTTGCTTTAAACTCTATACAACCCCAGTGCAGCGTACCAGGTAAAAATATAGCTTCACAGTTTCAAAATGCATGACGTTACAGGACATCTACGAAGCAGTTAAAGCAATAATACCACTAGCTCCAGTTTATGGATAGAGAAGCTCAGAGATGGCCATGCCCTTTTCCACAAGACTGGAGGGCAAGTCCAAAGTTCAGGTCTGCCTTGTTCTAAATCCTGAAGCAAAGCTTTATATTTGTGTATTTTATATATTGCACACAGCAGCCATTATGCTGTTCTATCTGCATTTCTTAGTCTTTCACACAAGGTATTTTGTCTTCT